CCTAGCGCGCCTCCTGGCGCGGATCGTTTCCCGGCTCGTCCTGTCCCGCGTTTCCTGGCTTCCCTCCAAGCGTCTCCCCTGCTCGCTCCGCGGGGCGCCCCTGGCAACGCCCCTTGGCGGGGCGCCCTGCGGCCGCCCCGTGGCGCGCGCCCCGCCGCGCCCCGTGACCGGCCCCTGCCCCTGATGCGTCCCCTGACGCACTTCCTGGCGCATTCCCCACTGCGCCCCTGGCACATCCTGCGGCGCGTCCGTGAACCTTCTGCCCCGTGTCGCGCCGTTCCTTTTCGGAGCTGATGCGGACTTTGAGGTCGAGTTGATTGAGCGCCCAGCCTGCTTCCACTTCACCTAGCCCTGGGCCAGCTACTACGTGGTCAGGCAGCTTGAGCTAAAGATCCAGATCAGTTCGGATGCAAAGAGGACTCGATCCACAACGCTATAGAGCACAATCGTGGCATGGCACATCGCCATCTATCACAGCGCACCACAGTGCAGCCCTCGGCACGGCACATCAATACCGATACGCTCAGCATTGCGATCGATCGCCCGCCGCCCCATCGGGCGCCTCGAAAACGCGACTGCGCCTCACAATGCTATATTCCGATCCTGTGTTCTCGGGTCGATCACGTTTGCTTCGCAATAGCTAACGCCCACCGACGCTTGTTCTACTCGCAGGAAAGGGGGCCGCGCGCCCACCGGCGGCACGCCGCGCTGCGGCGAACCTCGGCGCGCGGCGGCGCGGCCTGGGCGAGACGCCGGGCCGCGGCAGGCGCGGGCCTGGCCGCGGACATGCAAGAGGCGCGCGCAGTCTCACCGCACTCTGCACATGTGAAGCTCGCCGTCGATCGGACGTCCATTTCCCATGTATTGTTCGGCTTCGTGCGTGTTTTTGTTGCTCGATGGTCTAGGATGGTCCTCGATGGTTCTCGCCGAGAGAAAATGCACACGTCCGAGCGATGCCAAGGAAAGCGGGGGGATGGAGGACCAGACAGGCCTACCCCGCCCCCCAGAGCGGAGCAGGCTAGATGCGGGCACCAGGCAGCTAGACCACGGGAGAGGCTATCGCCCGTCTTGGGATGCGTCGAGGTCCTCGAACTTTCGCGCATCGTACCAGGTGCAAGTCTTCGAAATAATGGTTTCGAGAATTTGTCTATATATTCTTAACGCAGTGTGGATCATTGAGAGCGAAATGAAAAACTGCCACCAACTCCACTGGTACACTGTCCCACTCACATTGACTCGACCCCTGATGCCCGAATCAATGCTTATGGAGCGCTTCAAGCCCGCTCCAAACTCTAGGACCCCCATGCTCTTGGTACTCCCCGTGCAATGTCGCAACGCATACCCTGACACAGTGTAAAAGTAATACACGCTGCTCTGCCAAAGCGGAGTTACATGAAGGCCCACCCAACCATTGTTGTTTGTATATAACAAACTGACATCTATGTTTACACCGCAATATCTGGCTTCAAAATCTGGTATGACCGGATTGTCGTTTTCGTCAAGTGACACACCCGCGAGCTTCAACAGTGTGCGCAATTGTACAACATCTGATTCTCTGTTGGTGAAAATCCCATCAACATCCCACTGGTCGATGTTGCTGCTAGACAGACCGTCGCGCGGTTTTGCATTGGCGGTGGGCTGCGGTCGTCCAGGAACGGCGCGGTGAACGTCAGGTGATGTTTTTTTCTGAACCTCGCGCGCTCGGATACGACCACCGCCGTGATCTGCGACGATGGTCGCATGTGTTTACTGGCCGTGGATCGAAAGATTTGGCTGACGTTTGCAAACTGTTGCATGTGGCCGTCTGAGTCAATGTAATGTCCTTCAAGCCGTCGTGTCGCAGAGTTCCTCGTGTCAGAGTCAATGCTCCACGCAGCCGGTGTGATTTGGACCCAATATCTTTCTGCATCCGCGTAATACCAACATGATCTCGACGAGACGCGTTCCACTTGCTTATGTTGTTCGGATGCTGCTGAAGGGTCGCTCAAATTGAATACATACTGTGCACCCACATGGCAGGACGCAGTTGGGACAAAGGCTTCATGTGGAGTCTTCTCTGAAAGAACTTGCGTTGCGAGGCCGCTGTATATATCACAAGGTAGTTTCTTAGCCCTGTACGGCGCAGAACTTTCGCTACAATACGCTAAATCTTTGAAAGCATTCAGTGCCAACGGGCAATCTGTCCCAGAATCACTAGTGATTCTTGGAATGCAACCGCGACCTGGAGGAAATGCAACTACGGTCGATATCCCACTCACATGCCCAACAGAAAGATGGGCGCCGGTGTATGCGCCACCAACCGTGATCCCGAGTGCCACAGCTGCCACGCCGATTAGATGTAGCCAAGCGGCTCGAACATGCGTAACCCGGACCACTTTTCCAAACTCATATGTAAGCAATTTGCACGACGATGTAAATTGATACACAAACTGTAACTAACGGCTCGGTCCAATCAGCTTGAGCCCGAGCGGCTACAAAGGCGCACTACTCACGCATTTCCTCTCCCGCACTCTTCTGGAACGCGTAACAATACTAGCGCACAACGCCTTCATGGCTACGACACTGCAATTTTGCCACACCCCGCACACATGTCTTACTGGGACACGTGAGATTGCACGTGATCTGCAATTCGAGGGCCACGACGGGCAAACATCGAAGTACCCATCATGCATGTCCTGCCTCACACTCTACGGGGACACGTGAAAATACAAATGATCTGCGCCCTCAGGCTCCTGGGACACGTAACCAGACCATTGACTTGGGCCTCGAGGCTCCGAGGGGACGTAAACAGTTGAGCGACTTGCACTTTAATTTTGATGGGAACCTAAATTCGGCACACTCCTGGTGCACTTCGTGAAATTGTGGGCGCTCAACTGGCCCCCGAGACGGCTCCTTGAAGCCTCGATTCGGCGCGCCTCTCACGTGCGCCGTGCCCCGTGGACCCCAACAGGCCCTCAGCTGGCCTCCAAACCCGCCTAGTCCCTCAAGGGGCGCAGGTACGCCCCCGAGAAACATGTCCTGCCCCATGTCCTAACCCCTCAAGGGGTGCGGTTACCCCTCACGCGTTTCCTACCCATACTCTTACTGGGACACGTGAAAATGCAAATGATCTGCACTCCCGGGCGGGCGCACCCCTCAGACCTGACCTGACGCCTCACGTCGGGGCACCCCTCGCGCACTTCGCGCGCCATGAACACTCTACAGGCCGTCCGACCCCGCCACGGGACGCCAAGATGCAACGATTGGTACCGACCCTCGTCGAGGCAATATCCCTAAAACCCACTGATTGCAAACATCTGCGTGCAAACTGCCCCCTGGGGGCCCGCCGTGACTCCCGCTCTGTGGGCTCAAGAAAGAACGGCCATTCGCATGGGCGAACAAAAAGAAACGGGTCCCACACAAGATGACATAAACTTTCCGTCGCGGCTTGCGCGGGGCGACAGCCTGGCACACCGCGTGAAGAAGAGGGCGCCTACGCGCGACCTCACGCGGGTAGCTTACGCACCAATGTCCGCGCGATTGGACCTGTGGTTTCTGCCGCCCGCATGGGGTGTCCGAGTGTAGGGGGTCGGAGCATCGCGCCGCATCGTCGATGCATCGGTGCCGTCGGCATTGCGAGGACCCGGCTCCACATTCGAGCCGCATCGCCGATGCACTGGCGACGCGGCGCGATGCTCCGACCCGACCTGCCTGGACCGAGTATGGCAGCCCTGGACCTGAGGAGCGGAGCCTCTTCCTGGCTACAAAGGAGCACCTGGGGTTCAGTCGGGCCTGTCCCTCTACTGGTGGAGTATCAAACAAAACTCAAAAATAATATGGGGATTGCTTTTTAGCATTTTGGAAGCATCTTTTGACTGTTTGAATATATTGTCAATTTTTCGTGCACAATCCCCTTTGTAGGGGGACAGGCCCGACCTAAACCTGGGTGCGCGAGGAGCACCGGGGGAGCAGCCATGGGAGGACCTGAGCAGAAGCGAGTCCGCTCCGTTCTCGAGCCGTCCCGTACAGCAGCGCCTCTGCTGTCGCAGCCGAAAGGTTCCTTACATTTCAGCGTCCTGGCTGCGGGGCGGTAAAAGTTCGATTGGAAGTGGAACTGCTCGGACATCGAGATGCGCTCCATATTGCCCGAGAGTGCGCCAATATTGCCCAGAAACATCCCCTGCATGCCTCCCAGAGGCCCTCAGAGGCCGCGCGATGGTAGCGGTGTCGATACATGATCCGCCTCTACCCTCTTGGTCCGTAGTTTGCCTCCCCGAAACCTCTGAGAATCTCTGAGGCCTTCGGGGCAACTCGGAAGACCTCTGCGGACCACTGGCGACCATGCCCCCCCAATGTCGTCAACGGCGACAGCACCGATCGAAGCAACCCACCGAACCGACGTCAAAACCGAAGGCGATCTAAACCAGAGGGCGCAAGCAGCCTGGACGGGCGCAGCGACGCAACAACGGGACAATTGCAGAAGAAACGGAACCGACCGAACGCAACCGATTGCGATGCAGCCGAGTGGGCCGCACCGCGGACACCCTTGCCCCCCACCATGGGGGAACAGAAAGGTCCGGATACCGCTATCCCCGTGGTGGGGACACCCCCAAACCTCCCCTCTTACAAACCCCCTCTGACAACCTCGAATCTGTGGCACCTCCTCCTCCTCTTCCTCCTCCTCCTCATCCTCCTCCGCCTCCTCCTCCTCTCTCCTCCTTCCTCCTCCTCCACCCTCCTCCCCTCCCCTCCTCCTACCTCCTCCGCCTCCTTCCTCCTCCTCCTCCCCAGCCCCCCCTCCCCCCCTCCCTCCTCCCCGCTCTTCCTCCTCCTCTCCTCCTCCTCCTCCTCCTCCTCCTCCTGCCTCCCCTCTCCTCCTCCTCCTCCTCCTCCTCACCTCCCTCCCTCCCTCCTCCTCCTCCTCCCCGCCTCCTCCTCTCCTCCTCCTCCTCCTCCTCCTCCTCCTCCTCCTCCTCCTCCTCCTCCTCCTCCTCCTCCTCCCCCCACAAGGCGAGGGGGTCCTTGGCCAGCCTGCGGACGAAGCGCACCACCTCCGCATTCTTGAGGTCCTCGGGAGGCCCGGCGCGTGGGGGCAGCGCGGAGGAGATGGAAGGAAGCTGCAGGGATGTGTGTTGTGTGCGCGCGCGTGCGTGTGCATGTGCGTGAGTGCGCGTGCGCGTGCGCGTGTGCGCGTGAGCGTGCGCGTGCGCGTGCGTGTGCGTTTGTGTGTGTGTGTGTGCGCATGCGCGTGCGCGTGCGCGGGCGCGGGCGCGGGCGCGGGCGCGTGTGCGTGCGCGCGTGCGTGTGCGTGTGCGTGTGCGTGTGCGTGTGCGTGTGCGTGTGCGTGTGCGTGTGCGTGTGCGTGTGCGTGTGCGCGTGCGCGTGCGCGTGCGTGTGCGTGTGCGTGCGCGTGTGCGTGTGCGTGTGCGTGTGCGTGTGCGTGTGCGTGTTCGTCTGCGTGTGCGCGTGCGTGTGCGTGTGCGTGTGCGTGCGCGTGTGCGTGTGCGTGTGCGTGCACGTGTGCGCGTGCGCGTGCGCGTGCGCGTGCGTGTGCGTTTGTGTGTCGCTGCTCGTGCGCGATGCGCGTGCCGCGTGCGCGTGTGCGTGTGGCGTGTGCCGTGTGCGTGTGCGTGTGCGTGTTGGCGTGTGCGTTTGCCGTGCGTGTGCGTGTGCGTGTGCGTGTGCGTGTGGGGCGTGTGCGGTGCGCGTGCGCGTGCGCGTGCGTTGTGCGTGTGCGTGTGCGTGTGCGTGTGCGTGTGCGTGTGCGCGTGCGCGTGCGCGTGCGAGTGCGCGTGCGCGTGCGTGTGGTGTGCGTGTGCGTGTGCGTGTGCGTGTGCCTGTGCGCGTGTGCGCCGCGCGTGCGCGTGCGCGTGGTGCGTGTGCGTGTGCGCGTGCGCGCGCGCGTGGGCGTGGGCGTGTTGCGTTTGCGTGCGCGTGTGCTGCGCGTGTTGCGTGTGCGTGTCGTGTGCGTGTGCGCGTGCGTAGGCGTGCGCGTTTGCGTGTGCGTGTGCGGGTGCGTGTGCGTTGGTGCGTCGCGTGTGCGTGTGCCGCGTGCGTGTGCGTGCGCGTGGCGCGTGCGCGTGTGCGTGTGCGTGTGCGTGTGCGCGTGCGGCGTGCGCGTGCGCGTGTGCGTGCCGCGTGCGCGTGCGCGTGCGTGTGGCGTGTGCGTGTGGCGTGTGGCGTGTGCGTGTGCGCGTGCGCGTGCGTGTGCGAGTGCGCGTGCGCGTGCGTGTGCGTGTGCGTGTGCGTGTGCGTGTGCGTGTGGTGTGCGCGTGTGCGCGCGCGGTGCGCGTGCGCCGTGTGCGTGTGCGTGTGCGCGGTGGCGCAAAGCGCGTGGGCGTGGGCGTGTGCGTGTGCGTGCGCGTGTGCGTCTGCGCGTGGTGCGTGTGCGTGTGCGTGCGCATGGTGCGCGCGCGTGCGCATGTGCGTGTGCGTGCGCGTGTGCGTGTGCGCGTGTGCGCGTGCGTGTGCATGCGCGTGCGCGTGCGCGTGTGCATGCGCGCGTGCTAATTTGTGTGCGTGCGCGCGTGCGCGTGCGCGTGCGCGTGCGCGTGTGCGCGTGCGTGCGCGCGTGCGTGTGCGTGTGCGTGTGCGTGTGCGTGTGCGTGCGCGTGTGCGTGTGCGCGTGCGTGTGCGTGTGCGTGCGCGCGTGCGCGTGCGCGTGCGTGTTCGTGTGCGTGTGCGTGCGCGCGTGCGCGTGCGCGTGCGGCGCGCGCGTGCGTGTGCCGTGTGCGTGTGCGCGTGCGTGTGGCGCGTGCGCGTGCGTGTGCGTGTGCGCGTGTGCGTTGGGCGTTGTGCGTGTGCGTGTGCGTGGTGCGGTGCGTGTGCGTGCGCGCGTGCGTGCGCGCGTGCGTGTGCGCGTGCGTGCCGTGCGCGTGCGCGCGTGCGCGTGCGTGTGCGGTGCGCGTGCGCGTGCGGTGTGCGCGTGCGTGTGCGTGTGCGTGTGCGTGTGCGTGTGCGTGTGCGTGTGCGCGTGCGCGTGCGTGTGCGCGTGCGTGTGCGCGTGCGCGTGCGCGTGCGCGTGCGGGTGCGTTTGCGCGTGCGTGTGCGTGTACGCGTGCGTGTGCGTGTGCGTGTGCGCGTGCGTGTGCGAGTGCGTGTGCGCGTGCGTGTGCGCGTGCGTGCGCGTGTGCGTGTGCGTGTGCGTGTGCGTGTGCGCGTGCGTGTGCGTGTGCGTGTGCGTGTGCGTGTGCGTGTGCGTGCGCGCGTGCGTGCGCGCGTGCGCGTGCGCGCGCGTGCGCGCGTGCGTGTGCGTGTGCGCGTGCGTGTGTGCGTGCGTGCGCGCGTGCGTGTGCGTGCGCGTGTGTGTGGTGTGTGTGTGTTCTGTGTGTGTGTTGTGTGTGTGTGTGTGTGAGTGTCCGTGTCTGTGTCTACGTCTGCGTCTGTGTCTGTGCGCCTGTGCGCGTGTCTGTTGGCGCGGGGCCTATAAAGGCAAAAGGGGCCCACTGAGGGCCCAGGCCCACGTGAGGGGCCCTGGCCCACAGGGGCCTTCCCAAGACAGGAGGGCGCCTCGGCCCCGAGAGCCTCGACGACGTCGGGGAACTCCTGTCTCGAGGGCGCTGCGGCCCCGAGGCGCAGCTCGACGCGCCCGAAGCTCTACCCCCGTCTATAGGGCATCTCCCGTACCAAGGGACATACAGGAGGAAAATCTGCGGTGCAAGCGGGCGCAGACTGCAACAAGCACGTACGCATGCAAATACAGAAGGCCACTCACTCACACCCTCAACGCGCGATCACATTCCGAGCAGGAGAACACTGACTAAGCAAACCAGCGGACGCTTCTGCCAAGAACAGCCCCGCGCGTACTCATCTGCGGTGCAAGCGGGCGCAGACTGCAACAAGCACGTACGCATGCAAATACAGAAGGCCACCCACTCACACCCTCAACGCGCGATCGCATTCCCAGCTGGAGAACACTGACTAAGCAACCAGCGGACGCTGGTGCCAAGAACAGCCTCGCGCGTACTCAGAACCCTGAGAAGCCCTCACTCGAAATCATCCTCGAAGTGGTTGCTGCGCTCCAGCCGAGCGCACTGCTCGGCGAAGCCCGGCGAGCCCTGGGCTAGCCATGCGGCACGCTCGAGGTCGCACTCGGCAGCGCGCTCGCTGCCGTCGGAGAACTCGTCGACGAGGAACTGGCCGTGGTCGGGCCCGTAGTCCCTGAAGACCCCAAACACGGAGGAGACGTAGGAACTGCTGTCGCCGCCCACGGAGCCTTCGTCGACCTCAACGCTCTCGACGCTTCCGATGCCCCCTCGGAGGAGCGCAGCATCGTTATCTAGCAGGCATTGCGTGACAGCATCGTGGCGCTCGGCGGTGGCGGCGGAGAGGGTCTCGGAGCATACCGTGCTGTCCTGGCTCCCCTCGGCGCTCTCGCCCTCGCCGTGCCTGCTGTCGCCCTGCTCTCCAGTTGGGCCTCCCAGGTGCTCCAGCGGAGGCGGCGGCGCTCCAGCGCCTGCAGCACCGCCCACCTGGGGCCACTCGGCACGACACGGCACCTGGAGGGCAGCTGCGCCGACTCCCTCCTGCTCCACGTCTGCCGTCCAAGCCCCGTCACGGGGAGGGCCAAGCTCAGCCCTGTCAGCGGGAGCCAGGGGCCCGCAGTCCAGCGCCGCAAGCACCTCCACGGCCGTCTCCTCGCAGCTCAGCTGGCGGAAGGGTGCGTACGGCGTGGCCCCGCTCCGCAGCGGCGTGCGCCTCGAACGGAAGGGCTGGGCGCTTGACCGCAGGCTCGCCCTCGGCTCCGCTGGTCTCCCGAGCTTCACGGCGGGCTCGGCGACGCAAATATCGACCTGTATCTCCAGCTGCAGCCGCGCTGCCCCCTCACTGCTGGCACCGCCGTGGGCAGCACCAGCAGGCCTGGGAGCTGCTCCCAAGCGGGGCCCGCGCTCGGCCTTGCGCCATGCGGCCGGCTCCGCTCCGGCCAGCGGGCAGGAAGCGGCGTGCCAGGCCACGTTGCGCCGCCGCCTGGCTGCTGGGGCCTCGGGTCTGCCGGCGACGCGGGCCGCCAGGACAAGCCTCGCGATCGCCTCGCGCCGCAGCACCTCGGGGTCCCCCTCGCCGTCGACCTTCGCCTCGAGCAGCTCGCGGAGCCTGGCGGCCTCGCCCCGGGCCTCTGCCAGCTCACGCGTCAGCCGCTGCACAAGGCGGTCTGCAGCGAAGCGAGCACCAGCCACCCCGCGCAGACTCTGCCGCGGCATCTTGCCCGAGCGCGCCCAGGCACGGCTTGAGCCAAAATGGCTACGGATGTGTGTGTGTTGTGTGTGTTGTGTGTGTTGTGTGTGTGTGTGTGTGTGTGTGTGTGTGTGTGTGTGTGTGTGTGTGTGTGTGTGTGTGTGTGTGTGTCTGTGTCTGCGTCTGTGTCTGTGTCTGTGTCTGTGTCTGTGTGTGGGTGTGAGTGATTGTGTGTGTGGGTGTCTGTGTGTGTGTGGGTGTGTGCGTGTGCGTGTCGGTGTGTGTGTGTGTGTGCGTAGTGTGTGCGTGCGTGCGTGTGTGTGTGTGTGTATGTGTGTGTGTGCGTGCGTGTGCGCGTGCGTGAACGTGTGTGTGTGTGTGTGTGTGTGCGTGCGTGCGTGCGTGCGTGCGTGCGTGCGTGCGTGCGTGTGTGGGTGGTGTGTGTGTGTGTGTGTGTGCGTGTGCGTGTGCTTGTGCGTGTGTGTGTGTGTGTGTGCGTGTGTGTGTGTGTGTGTGCAAGTGCGCGTGCGCGTGCGTGTGCGCGCGTGTATTTGTGTATGTGCGTGTGCGCATGCGCGTGCGTGTGCGCGTGCGTGTGCGTGTGCGTGTGCGTGTGCGTGTGCGTGTGCGCGTGCGCGTGCGCGTGCGCGTGCGCGTGCGCGTGCGCGTGCGCGTGCGCGTGCGCGTGCGTGAGCGTGTGCGTGTGCGTGTGCGTGTGTGCGTGTGTGTGTGTGTGTGTGTGTGTGTGTCTGTGCTTGTGCGAGTGAGTGTTTGTGCGCGTGGGGGGGAGGATTCTGCCTTCTGCTTGGGGCCGCTGCCTCCAATGTACGAGCGGTATGCTGGCAAGCACCCTTTTTGCCCGCTGCATGTGCGCGGCGAGTAGGAGGCACAGGGC